AACACCGTTGGGTGCCGGCTCAGTGGTCTAATGGTTAAGTGATCGCGCGCAAAGCCAGTAGGTCCTGGGTCCGGATCCCGCGGGGTGCGGGTTCGTGGATGCGCACTGCTGAGGAGTCCCATACTAGGATGAAACGGCCGTCCAGTGCTTCCAGGTTTTCCATATTATTATTAGACGAAAGTACTTTGAAACAAATTATATTTACTTTCCATTGATCATTTGTTATTATCTAGTATTATTCTTGATACTAAATGGAAACCAAATATTGTCCGTTCATACTTCCTTTAAATTAAAAAATGTGAAGTTAAACTACTGAGATAGTGGAGAAGATTTGTTGCTCAGGTGGATGATTTTGATGGAATTTTGTTCTCTGAGCTGGATGGTTTGGTCGTGGAGCTTTCATCGTTCTTCTGAACGACACCATCAGCACAAACTTCAGATAGAAGTGAAGTGTTCGAATTTCTCCATATGCGTTTCACAGCTTGTTCTGCACACCTCGACGTTGATTGGTTCTTATTAACCTTAAATTTGTCATTGTTTACTCCTTTGTTTTGGTTGTGTCTCCCATTAGTTTGATTTTTGTTCCTACTTTATAAAGTTGGTTATTAAATATATGGTACAACAGAATAAAATATCCAAGAGCTCTACTTGAATATATATCACGTTTGTTTACTTAACTCAATACCCATTGGATTATGATTTGACTATACATTATATTTACGTACTACCAATCTTATGGTTAGTATTGTTGCTGCAATCGAAACAATATTATGTTACATTGATTTAGAAATTCGTTACCATAACATAATTTTTTTCATATTACACTTAACCTTTAAATCTGGAAATTAATGGATGGGTTTTTAATGTCGTTTCACTTATGTACAATTTACATTTGCTGTTAATAAAGAGTATATATCGTGACAAAATACCCTTGAACATACAAGGCTTTAAAGTCATCATCATTTCCAGTGAGATTCCTAGAAGTTTACCATTGATTTTGTTAAAAATATTTCAAAGACTTAATACACTAAAATATTTAGACTAAAAGTTCTGTTACTAGATTAATTATAAAATAAATAAAATATACATCAGACTTCTTATTCACTTGCAAACTTATTACAATAACTATCAACCTGTCCCATACTAGGTTAAAATGGCCATCCCGTTAGTATTTATTTTTTTACTACATGTTTTACATATTGTTTAGTACAACTAGTATGGGACTCCTCAGCAGTGGGCATCCACGATCCGACACCCCGCAAGATTCGAACCCAGAACCTATCAGTCCCGCGCCAGGCGCTTAACCAACTAGACCACTGAGCCGAGACAATGGTATACGGTGGCGCAACTTCGTGGATTGTTTGATGTTAGACATTAACACCATTGGATGCCGGCTCAGTGGTCTAGTTGGTTAAGCGCCTGGTGCGGGACCGGTTGGTCCTGGGTTTGAATCTCGCGGGGTGTGGGATCGTGTATGCGCACTGCTGAGGAGTCCCATACTAGGACAAGACGGCCGTCCAGTGCTCCCAGGTTTTCCATGGTGGTCTAGCTTCAATTGAATTATGATTTCAATCTGTGTAATGATTTATAATTAATTAAATGATCATTTTAGCGAAAAATAATGTTCACCTGGACAAAGTGAGCACGTACTTCGATAACACTAAAACCAATCACAAAGTATGGGGAGACTATAATATGTGGACGACTTTTGAGCGACGCTAAAGTGACCGTGAGAAAATATGTCAACTTCCTATGGTCATAATAGGGTTAGATTTCGTATGGAGAATTAAGTTTGTGATTTAGAATTGGAAGTTAGGATTAAGAATTACATTTACGGTTCCCATCACGAACTGACATCAGCTAAAATACTAAAACTCTATTTAACCATATGGATGAGTGGGTTTTGTATCAAAATTCATGACTTGTTATCCTTGATTTCATTGGTTCGTCCATAAATTGTAGTCTAAGCCCATTTATTTATGGTCATACCCTCATTTATCGATAGAAGTACAAAAAAATCCACAGTCAGTTAAATGTAAGCCAACCAATTATATCATACTTTCTTTGAAAAGGCTTGGACCAGATTGCGCGGCGAAACTTCGGATTTCAACTTCTTTCGCTCAGATTTTACAAATACATTCTTCCTCTTTAATGTCTCAATTACATCACTTTTAAAATAACTAATACTATTGAACAACAAGTTCGAGGAGTGCAAAAGGGGAAAGGGGTGGAAAACTTTTTATCGTCGCGGGGGCGTATGTGAATAATAAATTTAAGCCACAGATGTTTTAAGGATATTCGTCCACATAATATGTTCGCACGCGTACATAAATACATGTGATTGGTCACTTGTTACAGCCCACGCATATACTTTTTTCACTCTTAACGTGTTTGATGACTCACTTGCATCCTGTTAGATGTACGTGCTTAATAAATTCCATTAATTTATATTAGTCAATTAATTAATCCAATTTATCTCTCACATCGCGTGTATGCCAATCGTTTAATTTGTGTTATACTGAAAAAAACTGTTGCAGAGACTTCGTATTGCCCCCTAAAAGTTACACACTACTGGAATAATGGTCCTCATGGGCGTTAATATACAAAATTTAAGAAAAGCTGTGAAAATATTCCTCAGCTAGTGAAGAATCTCTCGTATCTTTTCTATGCATTTACTAAACCTAATTAGTTAGGAGCAAATCAATACATAGATAAAGATTACAAAAGAATAGATCCTGATTGTATCAATCACTGATAATTTTTGGTTGAATTGAGACATTAACACCGTTGGATGCTGAGTGGCTCAGTGGTCTAGAAGTTAAGCGTCCGCAAGTGAAACCGGTAGGTCCTGGGTTCGAATCCTTGAGGCGGGATCGTAGATGCGCACTGCTGAGGAGTCCCACTATAAAACGAAACGGCCATCCAGTGATTACACGATTTTCCATGGCGGCCTAGCTTCAACTGCTCATGAACTCAACTATTAAAATTACTATAATATCCACAAAAACCTCTTTCTGATAATAATCACTGTTATGTTTCATGTTATATATTTCAGTTATATTCACTGTTTGTTTTCAGTTCATTTGTGTGTTACATTGTCTGATGATATTTACTGTGAATTTTTTATTGAAAGTGTTATGTAATCATTTTTCTGCAGAAGTTACCTACATACAATTTTAAATAATTGTAATCAGTGTGGATAAAATTGTTTATTAAAGATTTATGGAATTTTCCTTTTTTTTCTTCAATGTAAAACATCCATTGAATTCTAAAAATAGCGCTTTTTTAATCAAGCGAATGTTTCACGAAAGGAAAATTATGTTAAACGGTTGATATCAGTCGATAAAACATCGTAAAGTTAAATTCGTGCTATCTGATACTCTTTAATAAGGTATATGTACGTTTATGTTACAGCCGATAATTCCGCTGGATTCATAGCGATATTACATACTGTTTCATCCAGAGAAGTTATCAGCTATCCAGTTTGGACTGGGATATGCAAATATACCCCGGCTACTGATCAAAATAAATCAAAAAATATTCCTTTTTCGAATAGGAATTATATATAGAAAACACGTAACATATAAATAAGTACTAAAAATTATGATGTGCTCACTAGCTTAAAGATGCAACTCCGGGAAATCTAGCACGAAGCTGTGAGCAATAGAGTTCAACCATGTCATATGTGATATTGTTATTTATTGTAGACGATAGATGAAGGTTGTGCAATATCATGATTTGATTTAAGCTGGACATTCACAACATCAGATATCAGATTAGTGGTCCAAAGGTCAAACATTTGCATGACAGACCGAAAGTTCTACGTTCGATTCCCCGTGGTAGATTCCTGGATGTTCACATTTTAAGAGTCTCATACGAGGATGAAACGTCCGTCCAAAGTTTTCAGGTTTTCAGTAGTGTTCTAGCTAAGATTATTTCATGATTTAGACTATGTATATATACTTATAATAATTCACAGATGTGTACTTTTGACAAATGCATAATACATTAAGATTATCATAGATAATGTTTGTAAAATAATTTTATAATAAAGGAAGACTAAGAAATTAAGAGAGAAACATCACAAATTATATTTTCACCAAACAAACAGAATAAAGTTACATCAAAGTGAACATAGTAAAACTTTCAAATGAATAGTTCCAATTTGTTGGTTTATCATTTAAGAAAAAAAGTTTCTCAATAACTTTAAATTGAAGTATATAAATGTGAAAATACTGGTTATTTTCAAAATCTTTTTTTTCGCGCGCTAAATGGACATCATTTCTTAAGATTATAGTAACCAATTGATATTTGAATATTTTCACATTCTGATGAAATGGATCCATTTTTGTTTTCGTTGTGTTTTTTTTGGGGGGGGCGGATGGTGGTTGCTGAGGCAAATGCATCGTTGTTCATTCTCAACAAATAATTTGTAACAGAAATGAAATACATTAATTTATTATAAATGAAAACAGATAACCGAATAGAAATTGTTGAATACAAAATAGAAAAAAATAAAGAGAACAACACAAAACAAAAGGGAACACATCCAAAGCAGACAAATAATAATAATAATGAGAATTTGCAAACATTTACAACAGATCTAGAAGTATTATATAACTTTTCATGTTTGTTAATCCTTTTACTTTATGTTAGTGATAGTTTGTAAACAAATATGAATGTAGATGTTAAAAATGTAAACGATTGTCATGTATCATATTAGAAGTTTTAAAAAACCAAAAGCATAACCGCCAATAGTTAAAGAAGTTAAGATATAATTTGAACTAACGTCAAATATGTACGAGTGAATAACAATTAAAAAGATATGAATGAAGATTGAAGGAAATGATCCTATCTTATATATATACTTCATAGCTTCGAATACATTGTCTTTTTAATGTTTCAACAGTTTCATGTAAGATGAGTGAAACCATTTTAGAGAGAGAAAAAAACAACAACAAAACGTACTATTTCCATTTGAATTTACAATTATTCAATGATTATGTTGATGAATGTATAGTTTGTGTATCATTTACTATAAATTCTTGATCATCTTTCCATTGTATAATTTTACCATTTTCATCTGAATTTTCATTTACTGTATCTGTATTACGTTTAGATAAACCATATTTTTTACGTTGTGCTTTATCAGCACGACGACTAGATAAATGAGCTTGTTCTTCAGCAATTGTTTCAAATTTTGCACGTTGATAAATATCTCTTGATCTTAAAAGATTTAATGCAATTATGTCACAGACAGTTGGCGCCTAAAACATAATATAAATATAAATTGTATAATATCAACTAATATGAAGTACAATCAAGGTAATAGGCAATAATAATTATAAATCAATTTCCAAATGGACATTAGTAATGAACAATTAAATCTGTAGTATTTTTCTTTTATTAATTAACCCCTTACTTCTAATTTACTTGTTGTATTATCTACAAAAAAGTTATGATTAATATTCCAGTGATTTCATAATCGAATCTTAAAGGAAAAAAAATAGATCCTACAGAAATTTACTAGAACAGTGTTTTTTGTTATTATTTTTGTTGTTCTTGTTGTCGTTGTTGTTTTTATTGTTGCTACAGGTATACGGCATAGAGATAGATCTATATATCAGGATAAGACGTAAAAAAAAACACACACACACTTAAAAACACTTTCTTTTGTGTATTATATGAATATTGAGAATATTTTCCTTAGTAACACTTTCATAACTTTAAAAATGAAATGGATTAAAATAGAGTTTTTAAAAAGATCGGAGGTAATTTTATTGAATATTTTTAAAACTAATTAGAACAATGAATGATTAATAATAAATGTTAATTTTTCTCAATACATTACTATGTTTCGATAGTGTAAGAAGAAGACGAAGATTATCAAAACTATGTGATGCTATATTAGCGCTATACATTCCGAATAATCTGATCACATATATATATGTGTGATCAGATTGTTCGAAACGCATTGTGCTAATATAGCATCACATAGTTTTGATAAATTTCGTTTTCTTCTTATTATACTATGGAAATTCATTAAAGAGACTAATTGTTTTACATTCCCATGTGTTCCATATTGTATGTAGTTAGTAAATATTGTTAATGATATGACAGAAATTCCAGTAATTAACTAAATGTTAGATGGAGATAAACATGTACAAAATTACATTTTATCTTAATGTTTGTACGTTTTCTATTCTGTATTATTCTTTGCTTTTATAACAATCATTTGGTATAGGGCTCTTTTGTATTACGAAATTGAGAGATGAAAAGCGAATGTCCGGCTCTTAAACTGGGTTAGTGGATAAGGAGGATCCATCTACGGGAGTTGGAAAACCTGTGGAGGCCCGTAGTTTTGTCGTCGTTTAGATCGGACGATGTTCGAATCACGTCGGGCTCACCATTTTAGTGGCCTGTGGATCTGACTCCAAGATCGTACGAATGATTGTTATCGCCTATTCTCGTATACAATCGTCGACTTAAATCGCGTTAGCCAATAACGGAATTAAATAAGTCGAATGACGAGAATTGATTTGTGAATACATATATTTTGTATATGAAGCGAATGAAACAGATCAAAGCAAAATGACACGCAGGGAAGATGGCTGGGAAGCCAATCGTTCGTACGATCTTGGAGTCAGATCCACGGGCCACTAAAAACCCTGATTCCAAACCAATGGTGAACATGGGCTCTAGTTTTCTGGAAGAACAAATGGCTTATGCACCAATTATTGATCACCGGCTACCATGGGACTGCATCTCCTGATGTTGCTCCGCTGCCTTGCAGATCAAACCTTTAAGTCGAAGGCTCCGAGAGTGACGCCCCGTGAAAACCATCTGCTGCGGTTTGGGCACCCGTACAGTATCACAGCCCACACACAAATCAAGTGACTTGTGTGACGCATATGTATTCGGTGCCTCTTTGTGTTTAAATAAATAAAATAAATCTTCTGTATTAATGTAGTCTAAGTTTTATACAAAATGACATACATTATACATTTAGTAGTAATAATAATAGTAATAGTGGTGGTAGGAGTAGGAGTAGGAGTATTGGTAGTAGTAGTAGTAGTAGTGGTAATAGTAGTAGTAGTTCTGTGTAAATATCTACATTTGTATTTTCCTAATATTCGTTATCTGTAATATTTAGTAACCAACCGTTTAATATCAGTAAATCAGTGAATTTAGACGAACTAGATGTTGTGTGTGCGCGCTTATTGGATGGGTGATATTAGTTTTTGGGCTTCTTTCTTTATAGTACTGTGTAAAACCTTAGTAATAATAATAATAATAAAAGTTTGAATTTGTCAAGGTTACACAAATCTCCTCCATCATAATTTGATAATTTTGTAAATAATATGTAAATCTAAGATGACCAATCATACTACTAACATAAATATAACCTCTTATTCATACTGATTTTCTATTGAATTGATTGTTGACAATACAAAATTACTGGGATAGACAAATATTTTCCTACGTTATGAAACATTAGTTGTGACCGGTTATAAGGCTGATATTAAATAAGGTTTTTGTAGTGTTCTATAAATGTGTTGATTGATTATATGAAAACTGAAATCTCTTTGATTTGTTCAAAAACAATTTGTTGTTACCTTTACCCTACTATCCTGGTAATACTGATTTATATGATAATTTATGTTTTCATGTTGTTGTTGTGTACTTTGTTATTAATTTTGTTTTCTTTTACCTTGTAATTTATTGAATTGTCCTTTTTTCATTTATTAATATTGTGAATAAATATACTGTCTGATCAGATTATTCGAAATGTATTATTTTCATCCAGAAGATACAAGTGTTTATTAACAGTTGTCTACGCTAAATACTTCGGATCCGTTGACCAGACACTATCGGCAATAACCCAATGTGGGAGAGAACAAACCAGATATCAGCAGAGGAAGAAATCAGGAAGAAGCACTGGAAGTGGATAGGACACACATTGAGGAAAGCACCCAACTGCGTCACAAGGCAATCCCTCACATGGAATCCTGATGGCCAAAAGAGGAGAGGAAGACCAACGAACACAATATGCCGCGAAATGGAGACAGACATGAGAAGAATGAACAACAATTGGATAGAACTAGAAACGAAGGCCCAGGACAGAGTGGGTTGGAGAATGCTGATCGGCGGCTTATGCTCCATTGGGAATAGCAGGCGTAAGTAAGTAATTATATATTGGAGGCCTGCTTGAGTATTTGTGCTACCTGTTCTTGCCATCTAGATATTTCAACAACTCATCTGTCTTTTTGTTCGTTTTAACACATCATTATGTCTATTAATCTCATAATCTATTCAGATGAAATGTTTACGACTTTTCGCTATACAAGTTACAACAAATTAGAATCAGAGACAGCGTGGTGGCTGGCAACATGCATCCAAAACAATGTACATTATTTAAATGTCGATTCCTGATAACATCTAACTAGCGATCACTCAATAGTTATCGTCAGGATCAATCAAGAAATACCAAACGGAAACTTATTGAAATACTTTGTGCAGAGAATCCTATATTGCACCAATAATATTATATCGAATATATATCACGTAAATAGATCCCGTAAGTTTGATAATCTTCGTCTTCTCATTGGATTATTCAAATTTATCAAAAGATTAATTGTTAAAAAAATAACTACAAGTCAATATTTATTACAGGTAAAATGTATCCTGATTTATTTGCTCAGGTTCCCTTTCATTCATATGAAACATGTAATATGATGCGCACTGCTGAATAGTCCCACAATAGGACGAAACGGCCGTCCAATGCTTTCAGGTTTTCATGGTGGTCTAGTTTCAGTTGACTGATGATCTCAACTGTTGTAATGTGATGATACTTTATTACTACTTAATTTAAGTTCTAATTTGATTGGATAAACTCGGTTTGAGAATAAACAAAATAGTGAAAGTAATAGTATGCAATCGAAAAATGATTATTCTGTGTAAGCCCAAATATGTTTGTTGAACGATATGTTGGGATTATTTAAACTCCAATCATTGAAATTATTTCAAATACATTTTCTGAATTTACACTTTGTTTAAATACATTTTTGTTATCACGAGATAAGTCCTGGGAAAGATGAACTTCCAGAACTGTCCTACTTGAGATTATTGTGTTTATATTTTTATTCTTTAATTTATAAATACTTGAATTTCTGTGTTTCTTTGTATTTACCTGCTTGTAAGCTTTTCGGTGATACATGAACTGTTATTGTATGTTAAACTTTCTCTACATTATTTATTACGGGCCTATAACTTCATTGTTTCCCGTTTATAGCTTTGTTGGGTTTAATAGGAACTGACTGCTAAATTTTTGGATCTATGGTATAGGATAGAGAAAGGAGAGAGTATAATAGACCTATGAGAGCTCAGCTAGGGTTTGTTCAATCCTGATAGTGAAGACCAGACATGTAATTGATTAAGTCTGGAAGAAAGCCATAGACGAAATACTGAACAAAGCGTAGGGGAAAAATTACAATTCATGACCTTAACACATGATAATGATAAATGATGCTAAAGCCATAAAAGTTTTTTCACAAGCTATTTAACATTAATATCATTAAAAAATATATATAAACCACTAGTTATTAAAGCCCATAAAACATTATGTATATTTCATTATTTAAAATCACTTACCAAACCGAGTAAAGCTAAACCTGAACCAATATTCATTGTCAATGGGAGAAGATGAAATTTACCAGCTTCACCGCTAACATGAATAACAAATCTTATACCATAAGCTTTTATCAAATCTCGATAGTTAGTTCCATTTTCGCTGTAAAAATGGGCATAACTACAAAATGAAGTATAAAAATAAAATATAGAATAAAAAGATGATTAGTTTAGACATTCAATATGACATAGTATTTGTTTCGTTTTGTTTTCTTCACTTATTGATTTCATAAACTTTGACAAATAACAATAGTTAGAATCAACATTTACTATTTGTTATGTCTTATAGCCCGTCAATTATTGCGTGACTATATCGCCGATCAAAACACTAACTTATACGACTTTGGCGCTATGCCAAATCAATGACACGTTAACCAGTACGAGCAGTCTAGAGTCAACTCTGAGTCCTTATTGGTTCTTCTTGCCTAGCCCTGTCCGTTTGAGTCTAGAACACAATCTCAGTTTCCACCGTATCAATTATATATTTCAGACATATTTGGTTGTACAAGCAACCAGACCTCATTATATCATAAAATATCAAGCTCAAAATCGGCTGTGAGCTTAAGAAACTGTAGCTAATAAATTAGACATAAATTAAGAATAGTAAATCATATAGTAGTAATCAATAGATCAAGTGGAAGCCCATAATAAAAGGAACATTATTATACGTATCATATAGTTACATAGTAGTTATCCAATAAGAGTGTATATAATAATGGTTCATAAATGATTCCTAGCAGTTACCATTCATCATCTGCACAAGTACTAAAAGTTTTAGAAGGAGTATCTGCATTTCCGTACCCCTTATTGACAAAGCAGCCATTTTTATAATTTTTAAAACCTATTCAGTGCTTTATAAACCGTTGGAAGAAAGTGTAAAATAATCATGATTAAACAGATTTGTTTAATAAAACAGATGTAATTGGCTAAATGACTTAAGTCAACATAAAGATAAGAATCAAACCAAAACACTTATTTATTTTTGAGGTAATCGGATCTAATTAGTTTACCGTAGGTCTGTGATAAATTATACATCAGATAAACAACTTGTGTAAGTAGTTCACAAACGAGAGTGTCACAGACAATATGAGAAAATAATTTGAAGAGTGACTGGACATAAATATAATAAGTTGTATTCAAATAAAAAGAAAGTTTTCTGAATATCTAGATCATTCTGGTTTAATAAGAGAAGTTCACCAGTTAGCATCTATGTTATCGAACTATAAACTATACCTTTTAATGATATATTTTAGTAGGATGTATTTTTGATGCAAACATCGACTTATTATTACCTAACTCATTTTAATGAAATTATCGTTGAAAAAGCGAAAACACTGAACAGCTGTTTCGTCCTGTCCACATCATCAACGCCACCACAAATAATCTAGACCACTGGTTCAGCATTTAATGGCGTGGATGTTTAAGTTAAATTAATTCACAATACTGAACCATCTTCATTAATTGCCTCAGAAAGGTAACCGTCTTATACATGACATGGTTGAACTCTGTCCGATTCCGAGTAGATCTCGAGCGTTCACTTGTCAAACTGAGGGCCCTAGATTCTATTTCTTGAGACGGAGTTGTGGAAGCAACTTCTAGGAACTCTTATATTTAAATGAAACAGTTGTCCCACGAAAATTCCACAATCTCCATAAATCCTTGAGTATTGACTCTAAGTTTCTATAGATCTTTAGGAAATAAACGGTGAAAGATGCATTTTAGGGTCACATGCTTGACTTTGCATTATTCATGTTAAAACTAGTCAGTGAATTAGTATCGACGAAACCATAATTTATAAACGAACCCAGAAAATCAAAGATAACAAGTCATGAATTTTGGTACGAAATATATTCATCCATATGGTTAAGTAGTATTTTGCAATTATATTTGATATTTGTTCCCGGTGAAAACTCTTACTTCAATTCCTAACCCTAACTTTCAACTTTGAATCCTAATCCAAATTGTTCATGCGAATCATAACTCTCTTTTGACCACAGTAAATTGGTATGTTTTCTCAAGGTCACCTTAACGTCGCTCAAAGGTCGTCCATATGATGCAGTCTCATTGATGTTATCAAACCAGTTTATCATCGGCTTAGTTCGCTACACATTAAGCTTGTACATCACTTCATATGTGTTTTCTCTTTATGAGACATAATCTTTGCTATCGACAGACTGTAAAGAAACAGGTTTATTTAAATGTCCGGTGATTGAAAGGGTTAAGCAAAAAGCTTGTGTTTGTCTTTAGTTTTTGGTTTATTTTTCAAATTCTGTTCATTATCTCTTCTTTTGAGAATTGCCGGTGATGTAGTTGGTTATCTTGGCGTAAAATGTAGGAAAAATTACAAAAGTCACTGAACAGGTGAATTATATATGGATTTCCGTATGGTCTTAATATAAGAGGAAGGAAATATTCTCTGAAACCGGCTTGAAAGTCATATTAATCCTTTGCGGTGTAAATGTCATTTCAGTTTTCTAATATAATAAAAGATATAAGATAATATAGATGAATATATAGACAGTGATTGAATACTTCATGTTAGTATACTTTTTTTGCTTTCATTCAAGGTTATTATACATTGATAGTTTTTCGGTTAAGAGGCAAACGACAAAAGTCGTACTTTACAGGGATTTTAGTTATATTATTATATATCCTCATATGTTTACGTAAATATTTACTTACCGGATGTGTTAAAACAGGAAATGATATGGTAAAAATAACAATAATGATAATAATAATAATACTTCTAGGTCTATCTAATGTAGGTCAAAAGTAATTTCACCGGTTGATGTAGTAACATCAGTAATTAGGGAAACAAAACGATAAAGTTCATATTTGGAAATAACTAAATAAAAAATAACATACTAAACAGTGAATAATACACAAAACGTTTTAAAGCATTTGAATATTATGATAGAGCAATAAGAAAATGGATTTAACGTGAAAAATTTGATTTATTTATGTTACATTGACTCGAATAATCTGATCATACATAGAGTGGTTTAAATATTTTATAAATGAAAACTTTACTTACGCCTGTTACTCCCCGTAGAGTAACATAGGCCTCCTAGCAGCACTCTTCATCCAACCCTGTCCTGGGCGATCCTTTCCAGTTGCTATTGATTCTTTTTGTTTCTGCTTCCATTTCCTGACGTATTGTGTCCTTTGGTCTTCCTTTTTCCCGCTTCCCTTCAGGACTCCAAGTTAGGGCTTGTCTCGTGATGCAGTTTTGTGATTTTCCTAATGTATGTCCTATCCACTTCCAATGTTTTTTCCTAATTTCCTCTTTATCTGGAAGCTGATTTGTCCTCTCCCACAGAAGGGTGTTTTTGATGTATCCGGTCAACGGATATTGAGTATGTTGCGTAGACAACAGTTTATAAATACTTGTACCTTCTTATTGATGGTTGTAGTAGTTCTCCACGTTTCATCTCTGTACGGTAGGACTGTCTTGACTTTCGTATTAAAAATCGTGCCTTTCATGTTGACTGACAGTTGTTTTGAGTTACATATATTCTTCAACTGTAGGAATGTGGCACTTGCTTTGCCAATCATCTCCTTTACGTCTGCTTCCAATCTTCCTTGTTCATCAATGATGCTTCTCAGGTACGTGAAAGATTTCACATCTTCCAGAGTTTCTCCAACAAGTGCGATTGGACTGATGTTTTCCGTGTTGTATTTGAGGATCCTACCTTTTCCTTTTTATATACTGAGGCCTATTAATGCAGAGGATGCTGCTACACTAGTTGTCTTCATCTGTGTTTGTTCGCTTGCAGCTCTAACTCCGCCTTAGCTCTTCTAGCGTTACTGCCGGTCCCAAGTCCGTGTAAAGAGGGAGGATTGGGCATGGGGTCAGCAACCACATCCCCTAGAAAATAGTCTTTCCAAAAAACGCCAATAGATTAAACAAAAGTAACTTAGAATCACTATAAATTGATAATTGAAAATAAACGAGTAGAAAGTATGTCATACGGTCTTTTGCTATAATATATTTTAAAGATACAGTACCATGAGTCTAATGATTATTGCTGGAAATTAACTAGAATTTCTTTTTAAACATGACATCTTGATGTCTCTTCAGGTGATAATAGCCTCTGAAATAGAATGAGGTTTTTTTATAACCCCACATTGATAATCATCATATCCTCACTAGCGATTGGCTTTGAGAGGGAATTTCCAGAGATCTGGTGAAAAATCGTGACTAGTTATGTTCAACCATGTCTAGTATGAGAAAGATTTCCATTTCAGGTAGTAGAAGATTGCCACTTTATGTGAAGAATTTATTGGAGTTAAACCCATACATCATTGGATCCAAGCTCAGTGGTCTAGAAGTTAAGCGTTTGTGTGCGATATTCAAGGTCTTGGATCCGGGTACAGTTTTTAATGGTAGAGTAATGAATGAACATTTCTTAGGAGTTCTATACGAGGATAAAACGGCCGTCTAGTTCCTTCAAGTTTTCAATGATGGTCCAACTTCAATCAGTTCGTGATTTCAATGAAATAGATGGTTTACTTTTGTTACTGAGGAAAATAATAATTTTAAACTAAAAGAAAGTTTAATTATCTGTAAATTAACTCATAGATACATATTGTGACATCTATGCTAATTCAATCATTCTAAAACTTCAAATAACAAGTACATTAATGAAAACCTTAAAAAATTATTTATTTCCCCTGTCATAACTATGTAAGCAAATATACTGAGTTATTGAGTTATTATTGGAAATTTCTGTTATACTTTATGGACAATCTTATTGAGTCATATATATATACTTATCAAAGGTTAACATAGTTGGTCAGTCTTTACTCAGTATAAATATGATTCAATACGTAACTAAGTGCTTTTTTAATACTTGAGTACGATTTGCAACATCTATTTTGTGGATACATCGATTGATACAGGAGATGATGATTCCTGAAAATATAAATTACATCAAATAGAAATCAAATGATTATACCGTAGATTGAGAATTGTCTTAGATGGGATGTTTTAAACAAAATATATAAAAGGAATGACCTATGTGTAAAGCGATGATAAGTTCCTAACAATGAATTCTCTGTATGTAGAAATAAATAAAGCTATACATCTAAGTAGTTTGATACAATACAATACAAATGTAC